GCGAAAGTTGGGAGCCGGCTCTCTGGGTGAACGGCTTTCGAGTAGAGGCAAACTATCCAGGGCATCCAAAGAGCCCCAGTAAAGCAGCAAGTAGTACCGGGCTCGTCGCGAAGCACGAAGGCCGGGTAGCTGATACGTCTTCATAGAAGCCGGTGGCCATCGAGGTTTTCATCCGCCTTCCGTGAAGTACTCACTTCTGTGAGCAGAAGTGAGTGGTCAGTGACCCTATGGCCGGTCACATTGGCTTTGACACAATGTTTTGAGAGCTCTTGTGGTATGTAATGAGGAAGCAGCTGACTAGCCCAGAACTTCCCACGCTCTAGGATGCTGTCGCTGATTGTCTACGACTGCTTATTCATCTCGTCTGCGAACAGCCGAGACTTATTCACAGTTACCTTCACAAGGAAGGCGTTCCCCGATCCACAACCTGGGGACGCGCCCAATGGCGTACAGCTCCGTTGAATCAACCAGTAGTCAATTCACTTCAAAGTGCAAAGTATTGCTGCAGTACTGGTCCGACACACATTCGGTCCTAGTTATCAATGAACAGCCACTGGAAGCGCCAGTTCACTTACCTTGGTAGCGGTGTCATCTTTAGCGCTCATATCAATGAGGAGGTCACTTCGCGCATCAACAAGACCCGTGTGATATTTCAGAGGCTCAATCATTTATGGAGAGGGCGTGACACCGGCCTACGATTGAAAGGCTGCGGTAAAGCCGGACTTACTGCCTGGATCATAGATCTATAAAATATTACAAGGGGAAATATTGCTGTTGCAAATGTTAAGCACGCGGGTACATGGTCAGTTTACATGCTCATGGAGGCGGTGAAGAAGAAGCTAAACGCTTCAAAAAAAAGTCGGATGAGCCATTAAAGGAGCGACTCGCATTATCGATCAACCTCGCGATCGAATAAGATACTTAGCTCTATGAAGGTGTTTTGAATAGTTCTTTTTCTTTGCATGCCGTCGGTAAGGTGTTCTCGTCCTCCTCATTTATGCGCGTCACTTGTAAACGCTTGACACCAGCGATGAGTTCGTGTGGTCATATAGCAATGAAGAATCACAAATCTTTTGGAACCTCGTAATCAGATTTCCCATTTTCAAGTTTATAGGAGACGCTTCCATTCGTAAGGCACGAGCAGCATAGCGGACACGTAGGGTTATAATGCGATTAGGTTTTAAAACTGTTCCACTACAGTGTAGGCAACAGTAATGAAAAACGCACTCAAGTCGAAGATCAGATTACTTTTTGGAAATGTTTCCAGTTAATCCCGTGGGTGATGCAGCGGAAAAGTGAGTCGAGTTGAACATACATTTCGATGTGGAAGGTGAAATCAGAGTATTTTGTGATCATTACCAGGAGGTTGTGTAAGATGTCGATTTGCGTGTGTGAATAGTAATAACACGTTGGCCGATCTAGTTGATCTGGCATCCCACTGAGTTCAGACGACAGACTGGCGCATAGCGATGAGGATGGTTGTTGGGCCAGCCGGTATTCAGCAAATTAAAGCCACTAGCAATTATTTTGCCTGTAAGAAAACAGTGAAGGAAAATCAAAGAGAGGGAGTAACAGTGCTCATTGGTGCACCTTTCGGGGGATTGTAGACGCAGCCGAGAAATTTAGTATGATGTGGCTGGTGTCCATAGAGATTCATGGACAGCTGTAGGTGATCACGAAGCTCCACTATAACCATTCATTGGAGATATGTGACATTCTCCCCATACGAAGTTTTCCAAAATGATGGCAATTTGGGATATTCACGGTTGGACCCACGCATTAAAGCCGTACCACTTTTGGGTGATGATGATATGATACATAATAACTAGACAAACAGGCGTAGAAAATGCAAGTTATGAAGTTACGTTTATGAATCCTGTACTAACTAGAAGCAGTGAAAACGTATGGCGCATGGAGGATTTTCTCTCCAAGCGCCAAGTGGTTTCTGGGAATACTAAATGACAGGCACGGAGTAGTGGGGATGAGTCTACTAAAAGTATTCTCTACACAAAACAAGTCAAAATAAGCGTTATGTACCTAGATGGATACATATTCAGCACTTTACGATACCGACAACGGATGAACTAAACTAACATTATCAAAACTAGACTTCTGGGAATGGATAAGAAGACAATGTGTAGTGGTGTTACTTAAATAAACAATCGGTGTAAAAGGGAAACAAGTAAACAGTTCCGGACAAAATAATTTAGAGCCAGCGTTGCAAGCTAGATTTTCAATCTGCACCGTCCATCTTCACCTGCGCAGTATTTCGAAATTTTCTCAAAGATTACGCGAAGGACAGCAGTGGTGACCTTGAAAATGGCTTGAGAAATATCAGCGTTGAAATATTCTGAGAAAACAAATGTATCCATAGCGATATTGTAAAAGCGATGTTCAGTGACAACGGCACGGCAGATTAAAAAGCCATGCCTAATGCTGCAACGGTGCTGTGTCGCGTGTGAGAGTTGTGACCCAAAACCAAGACGGTGCGTTGCTGATATTGAACCACTCGTGCGATCTGGAGGAACTGCGGGAAGAATGGGACCAGATTGGTTGCCTCTGTCGGGTGACTGTATCGGGAATCGTTACTTAACCATTCGCGCTTCTAAAAAGCGGTAGCAGTAAAGTGGTGGATAGTGAGGGATTGTGTGAATTTAGGAAGTGGTACTATCATGTTTCAATGAGCATTCGCCTGAGTGCCAAAACCACAGCGAACTGAAGCAATGATCCTTCGGTTATAACTCCGTTTACAGTTGTGGTAGACTATGCGCTGAGTGTAACTTGTTGTGCTGCGATAGCAACGGGGCCGTTGATATGGAACCTCAAACGCCGCAAGATTACTCACAACTGCATATTTCTTACAGGCGCACGTCATCGAGTTGTTAGAACAGTAGCTGGGTAACAGTTTAGTTCATCAACCCGGAGACGTAACTCGGTCTTTGATAAACTCATTGGCTTCTACCGATCCTTGCCTTTCGGACAGAATGGAAGCTGCGCCATTCAGCTGCCAAAAGCTTTGTGACATTCAAGGTCAAAACAGAGCATCGGCAATAGGACAGTACGTCGGGCCGACGCTTCGCTTCTATGTCATCACCGCCAGTCGCGCGCAAGTTAGGGACACTGCAGGGTCGCCTGCAAATCCGAATCGGTGACCTTAGGATTACAGGGTAGACATATTATATGGGGAGTTGGAGTGTGTGAACGCAAAACGGATGAAGATATGCCTAGATGATATCTGAGGACATCGGAGGCAGATGATGCGGGTTGCCTAAGTGTGGGCAGCCAGACAGATTTGTATCGAGCTGCAGTTAGCGACTCAAGATAGTCCGGTATAATCTTAGTATGTCCTGGCACTGCACAACCCTGCCCCCAACAGTCTGGGTGCACATAGCATTAGCAACTTCTAAGATGAGAAAGAGTAACCTTTAAATTAAAGCATAAACAGTGACCTATAAATGAGATAAGGACAGCTCAACTCTCTTCCTTACATAAAAAGACACCTATTTGCGCACTGAAATGCCATTTGATGGGAGACTAAGAACGTGGTAACGAGTGAGTGGGAAATTGTAGCTGCGATGATGACCTTTGACCTTAAACGGGACTGACGAACATGTGTGTGAGGGGAAGCGTCGAATTCAGCAAGCGAACAAAGACATGGACAAATTGTCACGCGGTCAACGCTCATTTGAGGAAGTTGTCCTGATGGATGGTTGGCGGCACCCGGTTCCGGATTTGCCTGTCACTGCGGCCCCCATAGGATAGCCAAAGGACGTCTGTAGCTATAGAGGGACCATAGATGGCTTGCGCAGCACCACGCACACACCTCATATCCAGTGTAAACCGGAAGGTATAAAACCAGGAGGCATGTGAATGGAAGCCACGTTTCGTCAACGGAGCCGGCTCATACTCCTTCAACATGCACAGTAGCAGTATTCTTGTTTATCTAACTTGGGAATCATACGCACACAAGGTGATGGCTTGGCCGTAGTCTGCTCCACACTGGATGGAACCACTCACTGAACCCAGCGCGGTCACGAGGACCGTGCACCCGTACCCCCAGCAAAGATTCATAGTCTCCAGCAGCCAATAATCGAGGTGGATGGTGCTAGACAGGTGGGCACCTTGTCAACATTCACATCATGCACAGCCACACCGGGGATATTAATCACAGTTAGCACCCGAAATACAGGAAACTGAAAACGCATGCACATGAACATACCAACTGCAGCGGTGATGTAGCACACGTACCATATCAACCGGCGTGGGTTAGTAAATATAATTGAACCGGGAGAAGCGTACTTACCAAGCGCTGCGCTGATGATGATTACCTATTCAACTGACCCGTCACCTCTTCGATGTTGGACCCGAGTGGCGACGTTGGTGGTTTACCAAGCCAGCTTGACTCAGGCACTCGCGACCGATGTGGACGGGGTTAGACAGGTAGGCACCTTGTCAACATTCATAACAAGCGCAACCACAGCGGAAATAACAAACAACCAACACGAGATTTGAAGGAGAATTGACACGCAAAATTGACATGGAATATGCAACAGAATAACAGAACCGAGCAAATCCAATAAGTTGGAATACTATTTATCCAGGTTAAGAAGATGTAGTCCTAATGGATACCATCAATCGGACATACAAGAGGTTGGCAAGGATGCCAAGGGGAAATTGACCGATTGCGAGGCCCCACAGAAGCGGTAAGATAATAAGCCTATGAAAGTAGGGAAGGGATAAACGACGCTCAGACGGAAAACATTTTGAGGGCAGCAATACTAAGGGATTTACCTGTGGGTTACTACTTGGACAAAACTGGGGCGCATAACCTTGGGTAACCGGATGTAGGTAGATGGATAGTTAACAGAATCGAATGGAGCAGTGAAATCACTAGACAAAGAGGATAAGTAAATACACAGAGAATGGCTCTGAAATTATAAACTATACAGGCAGAAACAGTCAATTCAACAGAGAGAGGGTGACCAAAACTCGACACTCACCGAGCTGTAACGGTGATTGGTGTTTGTTCAAACCGATCGGTCGTCAATATGGACCTGAGGAGAGCGAAACAGAGCGCACGAAACAGGTGAACAAAAGCATACATCTTGAGAAGTGGACATATAAGGTTGCAGTGAACAAAAGGACTGAACGATGGTCCAATTTTACACAAGGGGATAAAATGGCGAAGATAGAAGGAAGTTGGTGGTTTCAGGTGCGCACATAAAAACACCGGGATAGACATTAAATGGGTGCGACTGGCGGCTAAAACATGGCGATCAAAGCCGGGACCGAGTGGTAGCACCCCAGCTCCAGAATTGAATCTCTATTGTTCGGCGGGAATCGTGTGGACTGCCGTCTCGTGCAGACAGTCTGACAGCGTCAACCAAGGTCAATGAATGGGGCAGCAATGGACGCTGCCAAAAGTGCCTCCTAATACGAAGTACGAACGCGACTGTGAAGTGTAGCCAACGCTAATGAATGGATATGTATCGTAGCTGCTTTTCATCAGTTTAGTTAGTTGAGACGTCTGGGCTGACCTCCCAATACATATAAGATGGTGAATGTTCGTTGCAACTGTTGGCCGCACATCAGCTGTTCCTAATGGGCACTTACTTCATGCACAACAGACTATGACGTTCTATTTGACATTCCCCAGCAGCTGACCACACTGGCACAAGGATTAGATGAAGTGATTCTATCCATAACTGACGCTAGTTTAGACACCTGCGTGCTTCTCACACTGCTCCTCTTCTAAGCATTTTAGGGAGAAGCGCCGCAAATGATTCCCTCAATTGCCAGGCGGAACTCCATCTCAGTCTTCGGTCCGATAAACCTAGCGCGGTAGTTTGTGTACTAAACTTCAAACTAATTGCTCTGAAGACAGTAATTTTTATCCGAAGACAATTTCCAATACCATCCATGACGCGGGATCATCTACTTGCAGCAGTACCAGTCACCATCGAACCAAAAACTGCACACGCGATTGGCTGGCGAGCCCGCACAAATGCAGCAGAGAAATCCCTGCTGACTCCGAACACGATTGTCATTTAGAGCATCAGGTGCAGGCTCGCAAGAACACCTGCTGGACTCAGAGCACTCAGGAAATTGATCAAGTAGAAACAACGTGCAGAGATTTGCAGTTGAGAGACAACCAACAGCCGCACCGTCGCTCCACCGTTTGCTCCGTTCTGTGGAGCACGTTCGGGGCCACTTCGTATTTAGCTGGCGTAAATCGAGGCTCTTCAGAGGCAGAATTTTGCAACAAGAACAAAACCCTTAACCGGTTCCGCGCTACCGATTCAGACTCTCATGACCCCTTGCTATTTAAGGATGGTTAGGAGACTCACTGCAAACAACTGACCCGCCTACTCGAGGAGGTATAACTGAAAAAGACTGTCCTAACCGACCGCGGCGAAACGACCACAGCGGAAGTAAGCAACAAAACGACAACATTTGTGACAAGCACAGGGATATCAGTTGGAGGTAGATAGCGACATAGTTTCTGACTTACATTGACGCACACTACCTTACAACAAGTCAGGTACGAAAGGAAATGGAAGAAAACGGTTTTTTAACGTTTAGTGGGTTATATGCACTAAATATTTAATCTGTTGCGGGTTCTAGCGTAGCATCATGCATGCCGCAGACTGAGAATGGCTGTGTTCCTCGACCGCAATAGGATGTTCGTTCAGTTGACCGCTTCGCTGGTTCGACACGATTGCTCGAAGAGGTGATCAGGTAAAGTGGAGAGGTCTCGGTGTTGCTCGATCCCAACACTGCATTCCACAAACGTTTGCGTCCTTAAATGGACTCTTCAGGTAAAGCTAACCGGAGATGGGAACCAAAACCGGAACACAGGGGTTCCCGATTGACGTCATCTTCACTAAGCCATCGATACCTGCAAGTAACAGCTGGCACAGAGATTTGGAATTTATTGCTGGGCTATGACACGTAATCTTAATGGGGCAACCATCGGCCATTCCAATCAATGGAACGTTTTCCGAAGTGGACAACCGTCAACAGCGGTGTGCTTACTGTCTTTGTCGAGCCTGGTGGTTGGTCGAAAGCCAGTATGTTACTGACTTGGCTGAAGACATGATTGATTAAAGTACGAAGCAGTGGAAGCCTAAGAGAAGTTGTCTCACAGACGACGCCTTGTCTTCACATGTATGCCAGCGGTTTGTGGACGAGCGGCATTGGTAAGGTCCAGGGACTTTGAATCTGAACGTCCGCATATGCCATCTATAATACATCAGGTACCCCCTCCTCTCTTATTATTGCTATAAGTGAAGTCATTAGTCTTGTGGAGCAGTGATGTATCTGCGCAAAGTAATGCACCTGATGGGACAGGGTGGATGAATAGGCACATGAATATGGTAAGCAATCTCCCGGGCAACAAGTGCAGAACAAAGCCCCTTCCAGTGAGAGGTCGGGTTTGCACTAAAGATGAACTAATGCGCTCACATGAATATGTCCGTTTCCGGATGAGACCATTTCGATGGCGGTGTCAGGAGCGTAGCTGCGTTCAGACGAAGAGTAACAAGTAGCTAAGTCGCATCGTTACTGATCTCGATCACATCCAGAGCATAAGGTTGATTAGATGGAATAACAGCAGCAGGTAGGAGAAAGAGTTCCCCAATTTCCATTGCTTGTATGCTAGAGTTAACAACTGGCGTTTCCGCAAAGTTCAGTACAAGCCAAGTTAAGATAAGCTCCATACATCCGTCTGGGAGCATTTTCAGTAATAGAACAGTATTCCAAGCACGACAGAAACGACCAAATTTGAAGGCGCTGCCAACTATGATCCTATCACGGCTCGCGTCGTTAGGGTAACAGTGATCAGGTGTGGTGAAGAAAATGAAGTGAAACGTAGACAGCAGATGAAAAGTGGATTAGGAAAAAGTGAGTAAAGTTAATCGGGATGGTATATTAAAGGTGAAATACAAGAAGTCGAATGCAGAAATGCCCCTAGCTGCGCGACTGAGCAATGTCCGACAGGGTCTCCAACCCCTGATGTGGACTATTTCAGATCCCTCATCCGGAAAAATGGCAAACAGCAGCCTGATCAAGTTTGTCGGTCAATTCCTTAATACTTTAATGTCAGGCAAGCGACAGGTCGCCTTGTAGTTTCGTCAGACTCAATTATTATGATCATCAAATGTTAGCTCGAGATGAGAAACCTCGAAGCTATTGTGCCGCGATTCGGTGCAGCGACAGTAGATAATGCGCACAGAAGTGGGCAAACAGAGGACATGACTTAACTCCCATCAGCGGCTAAACTTTAACATACACTCCAGCAAGGCACCAGGAGGTTTCTTGCCAAGCCTCAGCTGGTGGAACTAACCACAACTGATACTGCGTGTCGTAATCCAAGACACACGACGGGTGTTCCAAAACCTAAAAAGCAACTTCTAACGGTTGTGTCAAGCGCTGCTTGCGGAGTTCAGTGGTCTAGTGATCCTGGGGATAGCCGCCAAGCACTATGTAACGAGTTCCACTTCCAAATCAGGTTATCTCTAAATAATCAGTCCAAACCAGGAAAAAACGCGTCATGCGGTGCAGGAAAGGGAGGAAGCAACACCGAAACGCTCCACTTCGGATACAGTCCTAGTGATCGGAATGGTACAGGCTGACTTCAAATGCAACCAAAGTCACAACTGAGATTGCGTGTCCCAATTTAAGACACACGGCTTCTAACCGCCATGTCAAGCTGTGCTCGCGGAGCTCTATTGACCATTGCGATAGCCGCCAACCACTATGTGCCGAGCACTACCTGATAAGTCCAGACCAGGACGAAACGCGTCGTGAAGTGCAGGGATGAGATAACCTTCCACTGCTCGCGCGGTCTTCTCAAGAGATGCAAGCAATATTCCGCAAGCATCGGTGATCCAAGATAGGCAATCGCTTATTATTTTCACAGCGAAATGGCTAGGTCTTTGATGCATACAACAACACCGACCTAATCGCAGCGCTATACACCATAAGTTTCGCTGACAGACTGATGTTCCACCGCCTCCACAGACGAATGAACCTCTGGGAAGGCATACGGATTAAGATGAGCTTCTCAGCGATGTAACCACCGGGGTAAATGAAACGACTGACGACTTCCAGTTACCATTGGGTGGTAGATAAAACTGATGATGTGTCGGCTCAGTTCACTAACGGTATTTCGAAGATGCGAAGCACAGTTAGAAGTGTGTAGCGTATTCACAGGCCCTGGGTCGTACCAAAGATGGATCATGTCGTCCGTATAGCCTAGGTTTGCCACATGGCAGAACGTCCAATCCGAAAGCGGTTGAAAAGCAGAGCCATTCAGGAGAGTTTCGATCACACCATGATACTCGACAAGGATATACAAGGCGGAAGTGGGAGATAGGTGAAAAGGTACCCAACTAATAGCTAAAATAAAAAGGTTGCAATAAAGCAGAAGAATGTGGGGAAAACAACAACCCCATTAAAATAAAGTGAAAGGGAGGTAAAATGCGGAGCTAAAAACAATTCAATGTTTCGAAGACGACAAAATCAAGTGCCAACAGTTGACGTATGTATGTATGTAATCTCAACAGTCTAGCAACTAGACATAGAGCCAACAAAAACCATGGAGATTAGCGGATAAGGGGAAGTCATCGCGTCATAATCATCGTGGCATAGTAGTTGAAGGTAAGCAACACACTTCAGCTAATATGCCGCAGGAATTAAGGAACATTTTGACAAAAAGTAGAACAAACCATTATTTCACACGCTGAATTTTCTCCTTTTTGTCATTTTCGAATGTCTGAAGTATTAAATATGTGAATCAATACAATTCTGCACACAATACTTCCATTGATTCCGGTTGCGGGCCATGCCTTCAAGAGTGTTAAGCCGTTGGCACTCCTCATCTTTGGGTCCCCTCCTGGAGGACGTACGGATCCAACAGCAGCTAGACCCGACGTCAGCGATTTCATGTGCAGTCGCCAAGTGGAAGGCTGACCACCACACGGTCACCTCCAGCCAGGTCCTTGATGAGCAAATAAAGCGCGACGCGGTAGAGGTTCAGGTGCCATGCGTAGGACGTGACCGAGCCATCTCAACTGGCACAGCAAAACCAGTTTGTTGTAGGGAATACACGCATTCCCCAAGAGGCGACGGCGAACGTCATTATTGTTAACTCGATGTTGCCAGCAGCTGATGGCAAATTATGGAGACGAAGGGTCAACTATAATTCAGTTAACGACAAGGTGACATAGTAGATCCCACTGAATGCCTAATCACGATACAGGATAAGCAAGGGGTGCACATCGACAGAATACACCTGGTACGACAATGCCTGCAAACTGAGTGAACCCCATTCTGAGTATTGTACACTACGAACAATTGAAGCAGTGAATCACTGGGCGAGCAGCTACCATCTGAAAACGTAGATTTTGTGGAGCAAAGACCCAAGTGAGTAACGCGCAGCAAACTGACGTTCAGATGAGTGCACACAAACTGATCACGAGGTTGATGAACGCAGAGATGAAATAACATCGCCGTAAAATCCCAGGGATGTTTCGTGAGTCAAAAAGATAGTGCTTTCGGCACACTGGTTACACAAATCCTGTTCGACAGAAGCCGGCCATAATTTGTATGAGAATAACGGAACGCGGGGATGGTTCACTGAGCCGCGTAGGGTCCGAGAAGGATGAGGGGGCGGTCACAAATCTATGCAATGGTCAACTGACAAACACAGGAATGTGTCATAAAGGTCATATGTAACCTCGGGAGGGGGGCGCTGTACGTCTAGATTGGCGAAGCAGTCGACTGCAGAAAAGGAACGTGTGTCCATGCAGGGATACTGACGTCAAAAGTACAGGGACTAAGGTGTTCTGGATAGTCGATGGACGGTAGCGTGTACTACAGCTTAACGGAAGGATGGTGTGGTGAGGACGAACAGATGGGCTTTTGAGCTAAAACCACACCGTAGGGGTGCAGCTCCTACCAGCAATAAGTAAACTGAACAGAGAAAACATATCCAAAACTTTCGAATTGGGGAAGAAAGGAGAGGCTCAAGGTATCACGCACTCATGCACATGTGAATGAACTTACAAGCCCTGGAATAATTGACAGATAGCACTTAAGGTTAGCAACAATACCGTGGTTGCCAATGGTGAAGTACACGGCAATAAAGAGAATCGCTAGGCTCACTGTGTATACCGGAAAGTACCCAACCGCATGTTTAAGGAAACGGGGCCACTCACTTATTTTCCGATGAGTACCACAGTGGTGGTGGATTTTGGGTGGTTGTGTTGGCTACTCGCCATCCTTTTATTCGGCGTAACAGGCTAGATGCCACATGGATGCGGAAGCCCTCCAGCATCCAGCGACGGACTGTAGGTCCGCGCCAGTCCCTCCAGGCCCAGAGCTTGCCAGTCACGGTGGACCTAAGTGGGCCGTAGATGCTTGGTACGATGGATACGTGTCTTGTAGCTTCGTCACTAGAAGTCAACGTCAGCAACAACTGGTCGGACAACCCAGGCCTAAATCCAAGACCACCTGCTGCGTGGGCCAAGGAGACAAGTTGGGTGTCAAACAACGGATCGTTGGGAAAAAAAGAAAACTGCTCCACTTCCGATGGGGCCTGCTGCATAGATGTAGGACAAGAGGGATTGGCCGAAGTCGATGCACCAAGAAAAGGGTCTCCAAGGCTTGTCCGGCTCGTTGCTGGTCGACAGAGCACATGATCAGTTATGTCTTTCAGGCGGCCAGCGGAGGTCGTACCGAAAACTGCATCCAGAGAATTAACATGTGTAGTGGCGCCAGGAGAGTTTGGAAGTAAACTGAAGACACGCAGTTTGTATGGCTCGGGAGATGGAGAGGCAGGGTACCACGGTGGCTCGAGAATGTCTTTCGGCTGAAATACGGTAAAGGAACAAAGAACGAAATTGATTTAACATGCAGAATGTGGAGTATAGTGAGAAGACTGCGATGAGAGCATGGAGAGTTCAGAATGGTCCTTGGGGTAGAAAAGTGACACATATAGTATTTACCATATGTGCAGCACATACAATTCCGTACAAAACAAACAGTCGGCAGGTGGCCGAGTGGTTAGCACGCCGGGCTTGCAGTCATAAGGTCACCGGTTCGAATCAGCGTAGGAGTAGGCATCCTCGTGGCGTACTCAGCCCGCACGCGACTGGTAGTGGTGGCGCAGCAGCGAAGTGCCGTTACGGCGTACAGCGGACACATTATAAGTATTATTTTCTAATTAAAAAGCACTCTTGTGGGCGATATAAAATAGTAAAAGTGGGGTGTTGACAGGACTCTAACCAACAAGCCAAAAACGTATGGGAATAGCCATGAGAATATGCATGAAGCGATTGGAATGGTGAGGGAAAGCCTGAGACAGATACTGATGCATATCTTAATTGACGGAGCAAACATGGGAAGAGAGTGCAGTGAAACGGTAGGAGAGGGACAGTTTCTACATGCACATAACGGAAAAATGAATAGCGATTGGTCATCGTACATGTGGCAGGAGAACCGGATACAAGAGGGCAAAGGTGCATCGCATAGGAACACGAAAGGGATACTTATGAGTAGAAGGACTTTGGCGAATCTTTTGTGTTCGTCGTAATCAGCCGACAATTCATAGAACTCAACTACCAATCGGGAAAAGCTTTTCCAGATTGGTAAATGAGTTATCTGAATTGTCGGCTGATTGCGACGAACTCAAAAAATCGGAAAGCATACTCAGGATTAACAACATCGGTACTTCGAGGTAGTATTTCGCTGTCAATAACCTAAAAGAGATAACTGTAAAAATAGAGAGTAGTGGGTGTACAGCAGGATCTAATATGGGGCTCAAATCCCTCAGGCAGACAGACTGAACCAAGGCATCTACACCTGACGGATATCGTCGACGCAAACATGGAGGAGCGTCGTGTGGAGGTAAAGCAGTAGCGATCGGCGGTGTTTAAAACCTCAGGCCACAGGAATCCTTGCCCGACAGCAATCATACACACACACACACACACACACACACGGAGGTGCACACATACCAAACGGAGAGTTAGACAACAGACAAGTCAGTGACAATGACCGTAAGACATGCATTGTAATAGCTAGAGACAAACACAATATGGGTAAAATGAACCAAAACTTTAAGTCAGAGTTGGTAAGAGTGCCTAAATTAGCGGTTAGTAAAGTCAGCTTCTAAATGAAAACTGTATACATCTTATAGGACAGAAACAAAACGGCTTCAAGGGCTAGAGATAGCTGGGCAAATACAATACATACGGAGTCAATGGAAAGTGTTCAGTAATATCTGCTGATACAGCTAACTTTGCTTGGTATCAATTGGTAGTCATCCGTGCACAGAACCGTTGAGGAGATACTAGCGCCATGAGACAAGAGCAAGGCTGAGTGGATAAAAAGCGCAAAAATTGCAAATCGCCAGCCATATTCATCTGCACAAAGAGCAGTGCCACCGAAAACGGAAAATGAGGCGAGTGGATTCCTCAGAATGGTTCCTTTCTATCCCTCCGTATAGCTTACGTTTCCCAGGTGTAAACAAATTAGCACTTGCCTCCTCCCATTAAAATGCATTGGAGCGTGCCATGGGATCTTCAGTGATAAAGGAAAAAGCGAAGGACAAGTCAAAATAATGCTGCCGATCAAAGAGATAGAATTGAATTCAAACCGCAGGGGTGGGAGTGGAATCTGAAAATCCTAACGTCGATATCTGCCGAATTACGACCTATGGGCCATTTGAATATGCAAAGTATTGACTGCAGCGGTGTGCAGTCCAGCTCTTTCAACTGAAGGTCTACATACATGATGCACATTATGGAAATACTGACTCGTACCTTTCATGGGTGCAGTCGCTTGTTAAACTGAGCAAATAAATATTCAATTATTTATTTAATGTCTTCAGAGCAAATGATTTAAAGCCAAGCAGACTTACCTAAGTGTTGGTAGGGAATGCTTCTGTCAACAATCGAAGGAATCGCTTGTTACGCTTCCGAAAAATCTTATTGGAAATGGGGGAATGCTCCAAGTCCACGCAGGTGAACAAAAATGAATGTTAGTCATGAGTGGAATCGCGCCACCTAAGCCTTTGGTAACATGGTCTGCTTAGGTTTATCAATGAGTAGCCACACACATATTGTGCCGGAAGGCAGCACTCCTTAGAAGCGGTATATGAATCGCTCTCAGTTGAAAGGAACGGTCACTACAATCTGGGCGCTCGGAATTTATCGCAAGCGTGTCAACTAACGATGTTCACGAGATGTCAGCAGTAAGCCGGTACCTCATATTGACTCTCCGCTGCAGTGCGATCATCACCAGTCGCGAAGGGCTACGGATTCTGCGACGCCGCTCGAGGCTACGCAGATTTGAATTGACGATCTGCGAGTTCCAAAGCAGACGTTTCCTGCAATCGCGACAAGCCAGCTATAGTAGAAGGCGCCTTTGGGAGTAGGTTGCAACTACAAATACCGTTCAATACCGCTCCGTTCAGTAATCTTAGCCGATCTATGCAGACAGTTTGCACACGGACAGATGTTCGCTTGAATCTAGGCAACCATGGGCGATTCAGCTACACAACTTGGAACGATGCCCACTCCATTCCGATTTGTGGTTGCTGCGCCATTATGATCGAACGTGTACAAAGCATAGCGAGAGAATAAGCCGGGAACAGTTGGCTTGATAATCGTGTCGCAGTCCTCGACCCGAGACGTACCACACTACAACATTTAAGTTATCATGTCTGCCAAGATATCCGTCTTGGATTACGAAAGTGGAGCACCGCGAAATGAATTAGAAAGCGTGATCTAACAAGGGATTTTTATGGTAGGAGATTAATGGGCCTTATGTTGACACCGATGTACAGTGAACCGAAGCTAACTCCGTGTCTATGGTGACCGTTTCTTCAAAGCTTGAAGATTTGCCATGTAAACCCTACGGAATCAGACCTCAGTAAATTGACCACCTCTGTCAGCTATATGTTGACCACTTGGGGCATAACAGTCACCATTGATTCAACCTCTATAACCTGATCATGTGAAGGGTTACTGTGCAATGGTCGCCGATTAACTCGCTTGTTCAAATAATAATGTGTACGTAGCGGAATTTCGAAATGCGTGAAATTCATCTGACCCACAATCACTGCACTTTCTGGCTCCGCAGATGTTTGACGACACAGCATGTTCTATGTATATATGCGCGCATTTCTATCCCGCCCCTCAGTGTTTACCCGCATGGGGGTTTACCTCGTACAGTGTGTTTCTACAGATCCGCGTCCACGGATTGACGTTGATCATTTTTGAGTAAACACTTTCCACACCCGGGCACGCATCAGCCTAGCCCATAAAAACATTTGCCCACTCATTGCACAGGTGACAATCAGGAGTTTGAGTGCCTGAAGTTGTGAAGATCTCACAGACAACACCCACGTCAATCTCCTGGTCTGCCGACAAAGGCTAACTACTCCTACGACAAGTAACCAATCTGAGCTCTTCCACGGCATTTCTGTAACAACTTCACTCAAAATTAAAGAACCTACTTGCTCACTCGTACGGTCGCACTCATCAGAAAGAGCTGCCAACACCTGAAATGGGAGGACCAAAAGACGACTGTCGCCATCCGCGATCCGAATTTCCGCCTATAACTGACATCCAGTCCAATACTATCAACTTAGTGGCAAGTAAACCGCTATCTGAATCAATGTTATTTAATATTTTTTACGCAGTGTTGTCCGACTCGAGCAGTAGCGGCCAACCAACCTACTCAATGTGTACAGCCGATTACAGTCGCCCCGAATCCCAAACATTTACAGATGCTAGACCGATAGATAGCAGTTCACATTGCAACACCGTTAGAACCATTATTACATGGGCTGATCGTGCCCAGAATTCGCCGAACGCCGAGGAACCGCTCCAGGAATGTAGCTTCGCTCATACCCTGGTAACAAACCACACATTTCCTGACTTCCCCCCACCACCCCAGCTGCGGATTGGGGCTTACGAACGGTCCGCGGAGCATGTCTCCCGATGTCTCCTGTTCTGAATCGCCAGGACAACGGACCTGCTGGTTCGGATACCCAGCAAACGAACGGATCGGCTTCTGCCGTCCCCAATTCGACTTCTTGACCACAAGTCCAGTAAATCCCCGCCCCTCAGTGCCCACCATCAATCGCCACAACCTACATATGACACCGCATTACCTCTAGAACCATCCACCTCGCTTCAGCATTTACCTACCACCAAGCCGACTCTAAATTCATTGACACCAACAGACCCAGTTTCTGCGTCATCATCAGCCGTCCCTAGGGCGTCCTCAGTGTCCACCAACTGTGAATCGCCCGATAAGACGCAGAACCTTATATCCACGCCGCTTGCTTCACAGCGAATCCATAGCTACCAATGTGATTTTTATCCACGAAGTTTCTCTACTAGGCGAGGCCTCACACGACACCTCTGGACATACCAGCGAAATCCAACTGGCTTCATGACAAAAACGATAGGCTATAACGATTGCTTATATAAACGTCGCACATGAAAAACGTTCACGGCGCAACGATGTCTTACACATCGTAGAATTCGTCACCACGTCGAATAAAATGAAGAATGCATGAGGTGTTTGCCTGCTCCCCCGTTTAACTTGGTGGTTTTAGAGGACGCGACCCAGTTTAATAACGCCGATGCTCTCAGATTGAATGTCAGTTCTCTCTACGACAGCCAATCGCTAGCAACAGTACTTCCCTGCCCGATATGCGGAGTATTAGAAAATGACAGAGAATTTTACGCTGGAAACCCAATGAGACCGGAGCTCCACCTACAGCTCAGAACATACCAAGTCTTCGTCCATGTGCCTACACAACCGCGGGAAAAGGCGCCATATTCCATGATCAGT